TCCCTACATGTGTTACTGACATGGGGCATTAGGCACAATTAACTTCGTAATAATGTAATTGCCCCTTCACCTGATACTCATTTGCTCAGAAAAAAGTGAATTCTAACACTATCACCTGGAGTCCCCAGACTTTGAATTTTATTACTAATGCAGATTTCTGTCCACCAATTTGGGGAAACTGGATGCACCTTGGCCTTATTCCCTAGTATATCTCTATTTGTTCCATTTTCTTATTTTCAGATTCCATCCATCTTTGCTTCTGCACACTTTTTGATTGATGGAAGAGAAATTTAGTTACATTGGTTTGCAAGAGATTTCTTTCATTGGGTGATTTGATTTGTTTTTCAGTCTGTTCCATCTGGACACAAACATCTGACAGTGGAAGAATTATTTGGAACCTCTTTGCCAAAGGAACAGCCAACCGTTGTGGGTCTGGATTCAGAAGAAATAGAGAAGCTGCCAGGAGATGCCTCCCAGAAGGAGCCCAGCTCATTCCTACCATTTTCTTTTGAGCAGTCAGTAGGGGCCCCTCAGTCAGAAAACCTGGGTATCCATCCTGTTTCCCACCACTCAGTTCAACCTGAAGTCACTACCCCGGTGCTAATCACTCCTGCCTCCATCACACAGTCCAGTGAAAAGCAGGCCCCAAGCTATGCGATCCCGTTGCGCCCTGGGCTCAGTCCCACTCTGCCAGCAGAAGCTCCTACTGCACAGGTTCCCCCCAGCTTACCCCGAAACACCACCATGATGCAGGCAGTGAAGACCACACCTAGACAGAGGTCTCCACTCCTGAGTCAGCCAGTCCCTGAGCTTAGCCATGCCAGTCTGACTGCCAGCCAGAGCCCCTTCAGGGGCCCACTGACAAACACCACTGGTACATCCCTCCCAAGTGTTGATCTTCTCCAGAAACTCAGGTTGACCCCACAGCATGACCAAATACAGACACAGTCACTTGGGAAAGGTGCAATGGCACCCAACTTTTCTCCAGCAGCCGGACAGCTGGCCACGCCTGAGAGCTTCATAGAGCCTCCCCCTAAGACAGCAGCAAGAGCCTCCACCGCCTTGAGCAACATGGTGCTTGCTCCCCTTCAGGTACTGGCAGGAGAGTAGGTGGCTATAATTGAGTGGGATGAAACTGCAAAGACTGATTTTGACTGACGTGGGAGAGTCATTTTAAAGAGAGAACTGTTGAGTATGTCGGGCTAGAAGAAAGGGGAGGTCAGAAGTCTCGTGAACAATCAAATAATTGGCAAACGGTGTAACTCAATTCATTTCCACTTCCCAAAATTATTTCAACTGATTAAAGCTAAGAAGCAGTATTTATATTTTCTTATGAGAGTATTTTAGAGGTATTTTTCAGTTGTTTTTGACTGATAGTTCCAGAAGTCCTCATTTGACTTAGGTCCACTCAGGTCCAAACTATCCCAACCTTTGTTCCATTCCCAACTCCCTCTGTACTGATGGAGTGCCTACCTTGTGCCAGGCACACTAGGGTACTATAAGAGCATCCCAGTATTGGAGGTATGAGGGCAAATAAAGCTTCCTAGTGAAACTGATGTTAGCTGAGATCTGAAGACTCAGTAGATGTTAGCCAGACCTTCCCTAGAGTTGGGAAAAGCATTTGGGGCAAGGAGAATAGCATATGCAGAGGCCTGGAGATAAGGAGGCAGTTGCTGAACTTACAGTGTGATTGGCTCTACTGTGGAAAGAGACTTGGAGGAGCTGGTATTGGTTGATGAGTAGGACTATATGTTACAGAGTTGAGAGATTTGTCCTGAGAGCCCTGGGGAATATTTCAAGGACTTTGAGCAAAACAGGGCTTTCTGGGAAAGAAGACAGAAGTAGGATGACACGTCAGGAAGGAGGCTTTGGGAGTCACCCAGGCTGCCTGAATTTGGGGGTGTGGGCAAGTGCATATGTTAAAAAGTATGATTAGTGAGACTTGATGGTAGATTGAGTATGGGGGGTGAAGAAATTTATCCCTCAATAATGTACATGGTTGGTGAGTTGCAAGATCACAGAACTGAAAGAGGGTAGAACTTTCAACTCAAACATGTATTAGTTGCTTTTCAGGATTTTAGTCTCATGCCATTTACTAATTGTGACCCCCAATCTTAACAAATAATATTGTAAAAAAAGAGCCTATTATGATAATTGTATATTATCCCTTAGTTAACAGGATACTTTATTTCATTCCTTTGAAATCTTGCACAGAAAGCGGAAATTTAGTATCTTGGTTACGTCGTTAAATTGTCATTTCCAGCTGTTTCTGTTGAGATTCTCTTCAGTACAAGGAGGAGAGAATGTATTCTATTTAATAGTTTGGTATATGCCCCTAAAATGTGCCTGCTGCCACTGTTCCTGTTGCTCTGCAACCATCAATTTTGAATTCTACCTCCTCCAGATTTTGACCTCTGGGACAGCACCCTGCTCTCCAGCATGCTTCCTTTCAAGGGACACCTACATCTGTATACATTTTCATTTACTTGGCAGTATCGAATTGAGGACCTGGGGCTTCATTGAAGTCTAATGTTTTTGCTCTACAACAAAAAGTTCTTTCTCTTCCCAGTGAGTGAGGACATATAAGTGTCACTGTGGATGAAGACTGTTTAGTGCCACCTGTCCAAAGTTTAAATCACCTTTTCAAGAAGTATGCTGTCAAGATCTTGCATCTCTGCAGACTCAACAGCAAAAATATGCTTGGGCTGTCCCCAGCTCTTCTAAGAGACACGGGTTTCGGCTTTTCCCTTAGAGATTCCTTAAAGGCTTTGCACACATCTCTTTTCTCAAGGGAACCAAACAGGGTCCGGATCTATCCCAAATCTCTCATCCTGCAGTCAGTCATCATTTGCATTGTCACAAGTTCCTGTCAGCCTCTTCCCTCAAGAATCTAGGAACTAGATTAATAGTTAATGTCTGAACTATTCCCTATTGCTAACCTAGTTTTTTTCCCCAGTAACTGCAAAATCTTAATTGAAACTTGGAACATCTGTTCATCTTTTCTTTTTAAACATTGCAGTCTATGCAGCAAAACCAGGATCCTGAAGTCTTTTCCCAGCCTAAGGTGTTATCTAGTGCCATCACGGTAAGGATGCCCATTTTCTGAAGAACACATTATGTTTAAGTTCCACTGAGTGTGAAGTAAAACATTGTTACTTGAGTGAAAAGTTTTAGCTTTCAAGCCCAAACCCACTATAGATTCCCCCTCCCCGGGCAGGCTACCCCTGCTCCCCCAGACAAAGAGTTCATTGCCATGACCTCTGTAGACCTTGAGTCATCTCTCTGTGTGAATGTCTTCCCTGACTGTGTATACAAAGGCAGGGTCAGCCTCAGGGTGGGCACTCACTTAAGTGTTTGTAAATGGGCAACTGCTGAGAGCACATCAGCCTCATTCTCTGAGTAGGAAACACCCTTTGCTCTGAAAGAGCTGTGTTGTCCCAGTTAACAGAGGGAAGCATCAGTACCCTTAGTGTCCCCACCCTCCATCACCTACCAACCTTGAAATGCACACCTCATTGTTTCCATTCTTAACATTTTACACTTCCATTTGTCTTGAGCCTTTATACCGCT